TTTCATTACAGCGTATTTTAAGCGTTGAGGAAAAGTACCTGATGATAAAGATTTATTACATAGATGATTCAAGGGTGAACTGATGTAAACAGAGCTTGCTTTAAGTAATTTGGTAGAGATTTCATCATATCCATGTGAATTTTTGGGCTTAAGGGATTTAATAATGTTTTCAATTTCCTTCCTTGTTGAGAATTTGAGATTGATATTTGGAAATGAATTGTTAAAGGCATGAGACAGATAGTATATTGGATTATTATTATTATTATTATTATTGTTGTTGTTGTTGGAATATGTTTTCTCAGCTAATGAAAGCAAATATTCATTAAATGCACTTGCGATAGCTTGTGTGATATAATTGCCCTTCTTCTATGTTGCAATGCTGAGGCACTGATTCTGTACAGGTAGTGTAAATGTGCAGCTTCCTAAGTACGGTGACCAATATGAATGGAACAAAGTAACAACATGTGTGCACAATCTCTTTGGTGGCCAGCGCTGGGTAGATCAGTATGGAGAACTGCGGATTACCAATGGCAGAATCAGCTGCAAGCTCACTTTTGTCAAGGTAATGAAAACATATGGCTGACCATTGTCTTGACTGTGATTGTCTTTCAGTTGACTGTGGTACTCTGTGACCAGGTGCTGCTCTCCCAAATCAGTCCTCAAGTACTCAGATAGTGTCCTCATATGTCACTCCTTGTAGAAATTTGGAAACTCAGCCCTGTGGGGGCAGTAAGCGCATGCATTTCTTTTATACAGTCTGTCTTTTCTTGACTGGCCTTCCTCTGTTCTTACCAGGCATCCATCATTGCCTGTAACTTTTCCTGCTTAGCCTCCATCTTTTTCTAGACAAAATTCCATCGATTCTTTATTGGCCTTTGTCAATTCTTGTGTTTCTCTCATTTTGATCAGTAGACATTAGAGCACTTGTCCCATTTTTTATAGTATAACGGAGTAACTATCCAATGCAGCGTTCGTCCCAGCAATTCAATCCCTCACATTCCACTTCTCATGCCAGTTGTTACATGTTAGAAATGGGACACGGTTTGGATTTGTGGTTGGATTTATTTACCACTTATAATATGTAGCTAAAAAGAATTGTAACACTACCACTGATTTACACAATTAATAAACCACTACTGTACACTCTGAGTCTTGGTTTGTTATGTCTTTGCTAGTCTTCACTTGGTAATGACTCTCAACTAACTTGTCTTAATAATGCTCACTCTATAGCCTCAGTGCAGATCATACAGAAAACGCTGCCCCCCAGCAATTCCTCCACTGTTGTGTGTATATTTGCTGCTGTGGGAACATGTTTGCTCAGCTGTTGCCTTGCAATACACCTTGTAATCATGTCATAGAACGTTAAAGTAGACAATGATTAATTCCTTCCATGTCCTTTCCAGTTTGTTATTCATGAATCATCCATTTGTTTGATGTTATGTGAGGGTAAGTCAATAAGTAAGTTATAAATGGATATAGAACTTAAACAAATAAGAGTACTGATTTTGAAAAATGCTTTTATTTCTCAACATAGTCTCTCTGTCCCATCATTTCACAAGACCCTGAAAACCAGCAGCATAAAATTCTTTGGGCTGCTGTCGTGTTCACAAGGCATGTCCTACCTCATAATGCATGACAGTGTACATTTTCACAAAGTCTGTGCACAATGGGTGCCGCACATGCTGACCCCACAACACAAAATGTAAAGAATGGGTCTGGCATTACAGCATCTCAATCGCTACCACGATGAAGGACACAATATGCTAGCCCAAATTGTCACAGGTGATGTGTTTTGGGTTCACCATTACCAGCCCGAGACAAAGTGTGCGTCAATATAGTGGAAACATCCTGCGTTGCCTGCCAAAAAAAAAAAGTTTGAGGTGACACCATCCTCCAGGAAAGTGATGCTCACAGTCTTCTGGGATGACAAAGGCATACTGCTCACCACATTCCAGCTTCAAGGACAAACCATAAATGCTGATTCCTACTGTAAGATCCTCAGGAAACTTCATAAGACCATTCAACGGAAGCATGCAGCCTGTCATGCATTATGAGGTAGGCCATGCCATGTGAACACGCCTGGTTCTGACAGCAGCCCAAGAATTTTATGCTGCTGGTTTTCAGGGGCTTGTGAAATGATGCGACAAGTGCCTCAATGTACAGGGAGATTATGTTGAGATATGAAAGCATTTTTCAAATCAGTACTCATATTTGTAAGTTTTGATGCCAAAACGAAGAATACACGGCGCCTAAACCCAGAAGACGACTTTCTTCATAGTACTCTTATTTGTTTAAGTTCTGTGTCAGTTTGTAACTTACTTATTGACTTACCTACGTACGTATTCACAGCACCATTAAGTGAACTTAGTAAAGTTAGTATGACTGTACCATGCAGGTCTTGTGCTCCAGTATGTGTGAATATATACAAACTGTGATTTTTTCTCATGTTCATATTTTTATTTTCAGCAGATGGTAACACTGTGGTTGCACAGATGCTCATTTCTGTCAGCTGTTATGTTATTGTTGTATTTATACAATTTGCATTTGGTTGTGAAGAAAGTAGTTGCTTTCTGGAATGTGAATATAATCATGGTAAAGCAACTTTTAGGATATCCTGTGTGTAGGTTGACTAACTGCTGAATTTAGATTATTAAATGTATGTTACAACATTTTGTTGCACATCATTCAGACATTATATGTGTTAAAGTGGATTGGCCCCTTCAAGTCATTTTGTTTTAACATACGGCACTATACCACATTCAGTTTATATATTTTTAAGTTCAATTTGTCATGCTCGGTTCAACATTTTACTGAGATATAATGAGTAGAATTTATAGAAGGATCTTCTTTGTGACAAAAGACATCACTGGTAACGTTAGTTCCTTGGAACTCTAGCTGTGGTAGAGGGGTCAAACCATCTGTCGTGGAGCGGGGACAGCAGTCTTATCAGCTTACGTCAGCATGGGTACTACCAGTTTAGAATGTTGCGTCTTGGAGTGTGGTCAGGTTTATAGTACTACTCTTGGTCTCCGTAGGCAATGTTTTCTACTCGGGGAGCAGCTCTGAACGTCCCACAGCAAACGTATGGCCATCGTCTTCGTCTCTTTCGGGTTCGACTTCTTCCCATGCGGTTCTTCTGTCTGCTTCCATTCTCTTGTTTCTCATGACTATTGTTCTTGTGGCGATCTCTTCTTTTGCCAGGCTTTCTACTCTTCTTGGGCAGCTTTCCAGTCTTCTCGGTCACTTTTCATTTCTTCTTGGATGGCTTTTCTATCTGCCTCCCCCTTTTCTTGCATCACCCTCATCTCTTTCAATAGGAGTTCCATCATCTGCTGTGAGTCCATTTTTTTTGTTGGCAGGATAACACTTGATGCACTCATAAATTCAGCTATTTGTCTTAGGTCGAGGCGTGTTTAAGTTCGAATCCCACTTCTGTAACACCAGTTGTCACGTGCTGGCTTTGTGACGTGACAAATGACTTAACACCAGTATTGGATCTAGTGAATTTATTGCTCACTCACTCTTACACTTACACAATTCACAATTTTATTGTCCCAATCCTTCTGTGATAATCACTTCCAGACTTCAACTGTCTCCGGCGGCTGCTATATTTCACCTGACACTGTCACTGTGTTTCAACTGTACTCGACGACTGCTAGACTTCAACTGACACTTCAGCAGCTGTCTCAATTCCTTTCCCTCGATACAACTGAACTTGTCTGTCAAAGTCAAAGCCACAGTCATATTGCAACTGACGATCAGTCAGTCAGTAAGTCTTGATATCTAGCACCCTCCTGGGGCTCATGACCAGATATTTATTACTTCTTGACAGTTACGGTCTTGTTTCTTTGGGACGCCCTCTCTGACGAGAGGATGGGTCTGTCTTTTGTATATGCTGCTAGTCCTCGCCAGCACAGTGTTTCTCAGGTCCTGGTCCCTTAGGACTTGCGACCATTTTACTGTCTCATATTTGAGACTTCCCATTTCATCTCCTCCTGTGACTTGCAGGGTCACGGTGGAGGTATTTGACCCCACCTCCACATGGGGGTGAACTCGTCTGGTGCATTGAACCCCCTTACATGGACCTCTCACGGACCACACAGAAAACAGCCTATATTGTTGGACGTGTTTACCAACCAGTTGCCTAGCAACGGTTGCTGCACGGACTCCACTGTTGCGTGACATCACAGCCAATGGGGAAGGGTGTTTACCGAGCGCTGCGTAGTGATGGGATGAGTGGGGATATGTGACATCACTCGCACTTCCTGTTGCGCTATCTGAGTGTTCACAGAGTTGTCACCTAGCAAAATGCCAATACAGTCCGCAACTCTCACGTTGTGTGCATGCCCTGAGGCCTCTGTTGCTCAACAGTTCCTATATAGAGCAAATACACCGCAGTATGTTATGGGTCTACAAACATGGAAAAGCTAATATGGGCATTTGACAAGTTTTCAATGCAAACGTGCAAAAAAATAACTACTTTGGAGCCTGCAGTGCTTTTTTTTAAAGATTATGTTTTTTTAATATTTTAATCTTAGGGCCATATTAGTAATATATGTAATTGAAGATTGTACATTTCATCAATTTTTGGATTTTCTGAATTTTCATTATATCAGAGTTGCTTTGTATGTCCAGTTGCAGTTTATTTTTTTGGAGTTTAAATGTTGGCAGTGTTAATTGTCTGCATCAGAATATGATTTTCAGAATGTAGTCCATTGGAGGACCTACAAGGGATATCAATATATCTTATTCAGTTCACTAAAAGAATTCTGCTGCAGATATCATTGCCTCTAATCAGAAACAAAGGATATATCTGTTAAGCAAATTGAGAGATATGAACAGTCATAGCCTTAAACCTGTTATGTTTATTCATAATTTCTTTGTATCCTTTTCACTCAGTAAGAAACTACTTTATTTAGAGGCCTTGCTATCAGCGATGTTAAGCAGATGATATGCTTTTAGGCAAGCTATTGGTCAGCCAAGCGCCATGAAGTGTTTGGTATAGTGACAAATGAAGAAGGGAAGGTTGTGCGGAATCTGTTTGGGAAATGGAGTGAAGCCCTATACTGTGGAGTTGCACCCTCTGCTCGGTGTATCTGGAGGCCAGGTAATCAATCTACTGAGACTACAACTTTTACTAATCAGAAGTGCCTAAAAATGTCATTTTTAAATGAGCTGTACTGAAGTAATGAAATTGTTATTTATTATGATATTCTTATGAATATATGCCACATTGCTCCCTCCTCAAGGCTGCCCTATGGGCATACCACCATTTCTTCTTTTCTGATGGCTGTACTTGTTCTCACCTTTCCTTCCTGTGGCATGGTTTCTTGCGGTGTTTACTCTCCATCTGATCCCACTGCTTCCTCCCTAAGGCTGCTCATCCTGAGCGGTTCCCTCCTGGGGTGCCAGTCAGTCCAGTTTAATCACCGTCATCTTCCTCCGGTTGGTGTGGCCAAAATTTCTGAGAGTGGTCAATGCTCCTACATTTATGGCTCCTACTCTGTGAGCCATCTCTTCTTTCATTTCAGAGGGGCTGACCCCTCCACAATGTCCTCTTGCTCATTTTCCACATTTAAATGCTTGCTTCATGACCTCTAGCTTGAGAGTTTGCCCAGGGGCCTCATGTAAAGTTTTCACTCATCCCATATGTAGCTCCCATCTCTTGCTTTGTCCTCTGATACTGTTCCCAGTTATCCTCCCCTTCCTCAGATGTACCTGCCATCTTGTGCCATGTCCTATGTTCCCTTTTAGCATTCTTGGTGCACCTCGTCCCCTATCGAGTGTCCAACCTATAGGGGCTTGTCTTGCCACCCTGTCCCTGGCCAAATTTTTCTGTTGTCTCTGTTCAGCCATCAGTCTTGTATGGCTGTGTCCCTTAATCCATGCAGGAATGGCATGGTGGGTCGTTCCTCTGCCAGCGGCCAACTTCTCTCAAGACCCACCATCTCCATGGGTCCATTTCTTTGGCTGACAATGGTGCCTTAAGATTAGATACTGGTCTCCATCCAGTGTGACTGATGAAGTTCTTTCTTTTTAATCTTTTATCCTTTACGTGTTTCAGTCCTATAGACCATCTTCAGAAGGATATCAATACAAATAGAAACCACTATTACAATATATTTTGTGAATATTAATATATACATACAATGTCATCATAATGCAATGAACAAATCTAATATTTTTAACAACTACAGCAGCTTTCATTCATTCGTTCATTCATTCATTTCCTTTATTTTCCATATACAGTGGAACCTTGCTTAACGAGCACCTCATAACAAGTAATTCGCATAACGAGCAAAACAAATTGTAAAAAAATGACTCGCTTAACGAGCGATGTTTCACATAACGAGTGACGAGAAGGGAAGTCCCGGATTGTGCACTTGCTACGTCAGTCTGTGTTTAGCATTCGTTCCGCTAGCATCTTAGTGTCGCTTGTGATCACACATTTTTCCAAACTTGTGTTCAGAAATATTATTGTGATTTTTTTGTGCAAAGTTTAATAACCCTTGCAAAAATGTCCCCGAAGAAAAATCCGCAAAAAGACGGCCATAAGAGAATAAAAATAACCGTAGAAATGAAACGTAAAATCATCGAAAAGCAAGAACGAGGTGTGAGCGTGGCTGATCTAGCACGCACATACAATCGGTCTCATCAACGATTTGCACGATTTGGAGTTGCATTGTGTTTCACAGCAAGAAGTTGTGGAGGAGAATTTGTCAGAGGAGGAGGAGGAGATAACAGCAAAGCAACAATCTTCTGGCACAATAAGAGAAATGCTGAAAGCATGGGAAA